CCCCTCGGCGGGAGGTAAAGCGTCGCCACATAGCCAAGCCGTTCTCCATGGAGAAGCTGCTCTACCAGATCGCTCAGGCCGAGGCCAAGAAGGAGAACGGCCCGACGCTCAGCACCATCTCGGCCCTTCTGGATGAGCTCAGGTAACCTGACTGCGTCCCGGACCCTGTGGCACGCACAGGAGGGTGGGTTTGCGCAGCGGGCGGTCACAGCCAGGGCTTGGTGCACGTGTGAATGGGCTCTTTGAGGGTGGTACTTGGCTTTGGGTTTTCTCCCCTCTGCATCTCCTGCCCTCTCTGTGGCCCTGTCCTGGCTTGTGCCGATGTCTGCAGCTGCGAGGCGCAGTGCAAGGGAGTACAGCCATCCTGCTGGGGAGTGGCAGGGGTCCCTGAGCCCGGGCACCACTGATCCCAGGGATGCCAGCTGGAGCCCGCAGACAAACTGAGCCCAGCACCCTGGACGTCAGGGGAGGTGTAGAGAGCGTCCTCAGCACCTGGGCCTCGCTTTTCTTGCCTCTCTGCTTGTGTGTGTGTGGTGTGTGTGTGTGTATGTGTGTGTGTGAGAGAGAGAGACGGTGCCGGGCAGCACAGTGACAACAGCGACACCCTGAGTAGCCAGCAGACACCAGCGCTGCAGCCTCCCTGCCCTCATCCTCAGCTTTGATGGAGCTCCCCGGGTGGAGGCAGCACCAGCTGCCAGTGCCCGAGGGACAGCTCGCCGGCTCCCTGTCACCCTCTTCTCCCACTGTGTAGCTCGCGACATCTCCTCCCAGGGGGGGACCCCGGTAGTGCTGACAACAGCACCCGGATTTCCACTCATGGTTGAACTTTGAGGACACCCCGGCATGTAGTTTATTAAACCTGTTTTTGGGTTGGGACAGAGGCGACTCCTGGCCAGGCCATGCTGTGGCCTGTGTTGCAATGTGCTCACACCCGTGTTACCGTGGGTGTGGCGACCATCGGAGCAGCCTCGCCAGCTGGGGGTCTCTGGCCTTTAATTTAGAACGTGGGTCCTGCACCCCACACCTGGCCTTGCCTTCTGGCCCCCAGCTGTAGGGGGCGCCAGATGGGAGACCATGGGCGTGGGGTGCGGTGCATCCCCTCTGGCCAGGAGTCCCCGCCCTGCGCCATGCATGCCATGCTGCGGCCACACGGTCCTGACGGCCGGCCTGCGTTGTGTCTGGCAGGGACACGGAGCTGCGGCAGCGCAGGCA